ATAACATGACATCCTGCTGACTGAAGGGCACTTAAAGCATCTCTCCAGTATTAACGTCTTCATTCCCATGATTACCTTTCAGGTCGGTACACAGCTAGGTTTCCCCTCTAAACGTGGCTGTTTAGAGGCGAAACAGCTAGGTTTCCCTCCTTAAATGTCTAGCTGTTAGAAAGAATTGGGGAGGAAATTTTCTCCTTCCAAGCTAACTTCAGGAAGTTGCTTTAGGATTTTGTTTTGAAATTGTTAGTGGTTATTTTCGTTGATTTAATTTCTTCTTAAAAAAATAAGGTGTGTTATTTTGTTGTTCAAAAGAGAACAAAGACAATAGTAAAAAATACCAATTATTCAGATAGAAGAATATCACTGGATACACTTCACCTGTTCTGAGACCATTTCTGATGAAGTCATTGCTCATGGAGATAGTTGTCTTTTCAGTCTCATAAGAGGCAAATATATGGTGTCCCCCCGAAATGTATACACACACTTCGAATAATTATAAAGGCAGTGTTTATTAACATAAAGAATTATCAGCTATCAGTGTGTATACATTTTTTTGGGACACCCTGCCTAAATCATGAGTGAACTAATCTCATTTCTATCTCTAAAATAATGTGACCATCGTATCAGCATATTACTCATAAACATGAGCAAGAAAGAAAAGATTTCGTAAGTATAAGTACAGATTTCTTAGAGATATCATCTGACTTAGAAGATTATTATTGGGATTTTAATACTGGGATATGAAGTAGAGTCACCCTAGCTTAGAGATCAGAACTCTTATTAGCTTATTAATTAGTAAAGAGGCCATAATTTACTCTGCTTAATTATAAACATCCTGGACTGCTGAATGAGAGACTAGCATAATTCAGTCAAAAAACTTAACAAGTTCCCTTTCATATGTAGATATATGAATACAAAGTGAAGAAGACTCAGTCCCTGACCGCAGGTAGGTCTTTATAACTCTCATCTTTCTGAAAATAACTTTGCGACATCAGGTCAGCCTCTCAGTGTGAGAAAGCTCAATGCCAAGTTACAATATGGAAAGAACATGCAGCCTTGCCACCAGTCATTCATTACAACGGAGTCACATCTTTCTTACAAGAGGGCAATATTCCACAGTTAGCAAGTGATAGACATTTCTCTAAGTAAAACTTACCCTTAAACTTGTCTTAAGGAATTGTGTGGTGGCCATCTTGTCAGTTTTTCCTGCATGACTTGAACAGATTGGTTCTTTGGCTGGACACCCAGGTTACAGTTAGAAACCATTTCATTTTTTTACAGGACAGGTACCGGGCCCACCGCCTCAGAGGGGCTGATAGTGTGTGGGTTCTTGACATCATGCAGGAAAGATTTCACAATATGAGCCCAAGTGACGTTTAGAGTATGTTTATGAAAGCTGGAGACCGTGAAACAAAGGAAGGGCTTAAGGTAGAAGGAGCAACAGGAGAGAGCCTGTGCAGGGTTGCTGTTAGCGCACAGAAAGTCAGAAAGGAGGGGTCTTGGAGACAGGTTCAGCAGGTAAGCTCAGATGAGCTGCTGCTGCCTGCTGCTCCCCTGGTTGCAAATCCCGTGGGGATGCTTAGAGTCTATGACAGCGGTTCTCAACCTGTGGGTCACAACCCCTTTGGCGGTCGAACGACCCTTTCACAGGGGTCGCCTAAGACCATCCAGCACATCAGATATTTACGTTACGATTCATAACAGTAGCAACATTACAGTTATGAAGTAGGAACGAAAATAATTTTATGGATGGGTCACAACATGAGGAACTGTATTTAAAGGGCCAGAAGGTTGAGAACCACTGGTCACTGGTCGATGAGAAAGAGAGTAGAGATACAAGGCATGGGCGTGCTGTGGGTTCTTGTCTGGAGGCTTTTTATCTTTTCATAGCCAGTGGGAATCCTAGGGGAGGTCTCAGGGGAGGGTCTTAACAGAATATTCATTAACTTTCCAGGTGTGGCCTTCAATATGTTGATTCAAAATGCATGAATAGAAGGGCCAGGGTTTTTTCTGGTTAGTTTTATTTTTAAAGAATGCGATTGAAGAGGGACTGGGATCTGAAGCCAGTCTGCCCTGGGAGGGTCTGGAATGTGTAAACAAATTTTTCTTAAATGTCCTTCTTAAATGTTAGGGAAGATAAACCCTTGTGATTCATTAGCTGGCTGTGAATTGCTCAAATTGTTTAGCTTGTTTAATGATTTTGTCTCAGTTTTCCCTATTCCACCTGTCAAGCAATTTCCCCAGATTCTTACCATCCTGCCTCAGGTTTGGAAAATATGTATCTTAAGCAATTTATGAACATATGAAACGTGGGTTTTATATTTTTAAAAAACCATGAATGGTATCATATTTTACTTATTATGCATCTTATTTATTTTACCCTCTTAAGGTGTTTAGGAGGTCTTTCAATGTAAGTACCTATGGCAAACTTGTATTTTCCAAAAATAGTCACAGCAATATTTCTGGTCTCACATGCTCTTTAAAACCTTGCCTCTGCCCCTCAAGAAGTAGGGTCTATTTCCCCACCTCTTAAACCTGAATGAGACTTCGTAATGGTGTGGATAAATAGAATGCATCAAAATTGAATTGAGACTGTAAGACTTCTAAGGCTAGGTCATAAAAAGGAATCCCCCTTCCCTCCTCCTCCTCCTCCTCCTCCTCCTCCTCCTCCTCCTCCTCCTCCTCCTCCTCCGCCTTCCTCCCTCTCTCTCCCTCTCCCTCTCTCTCTCTCCCTCTCTCTCTCTCTGTCTCTCTCTCCTGGCCCTGCCCCTACCCCGTGTGTGTCTCTCTCTCAGTCTCTTATCTTTAGAACCCAGCCATCATGCTGTGAGGAAGCTCAAACCAGTCCATATTGCGATAACATGAAGAGCTCTACATGAAATAGAACTGAGGTCTCCAGCCTGCAGCCTCCAGCTTGCAGCTACCACCAACATGAGAGTGAAAGGTTTTCAGATGATTCCCCTTCACAACCTTCAAATATTCCAGCTGAGGCCCTATGCAAAATGGAGCAAAGAAAGGTCATCCCTGCTGTGCTGTCTGAATTCCTACCCACAGAATCTGTGAGCATAATACATGGTTGTTTTATACCTCTACGTTGTGGGGGTAATTTGCAATGCAGCCAGAGTAACTGGAAGAGGACCTATATATCTGTGTCAGTGTTTTATTTATTTATATATTTTTATTGATTTCAGAGAGGAAGAGAGAGGGAGAGAGAGATAGAAACATCAATGAGAGGGAATCATTGATCGGCTGCCTCTTGCACGCTCTACGCTGGGTATTGAGCCCGAAACCCAGGCATGTGCCCTGACCTGGATTCAAACCATGACCTCCTGGTTCACAGTTCGATGCTCAACCACTGAGCCATGCAGGCCGGACTATGTCAATGTTTTAAATAATAGCAATGAACAGTATTATTCTATATTATTTATGTATTATAAGTTTATTTAGTTATTTCTGTATAGATAGATACTTAGGAATTATTTTTTCCTATTATAAACAAGGCTGAAATGAAGAAGCTTCTAGGTCTATATGTACACAAATGTCAGTATTTTTATAAAAACTATAAATGATTAATAAATACATGTGAAATACTTAAAATAGTGCCTGGCATATACTAATTTTTATTATTTTTTTAAATCAGTACAAGCTGAACTTTTATGTGTAAAGTGATCATTTTTCCTTTGGTGACAAGAACCTTCACGATTGTATCTAACAGCAGCTATGCTCAGTGCATACCGCTTTTGAAAGCTTTGATTATGGCAAAAACTTGCAAACATAACCAGTCATAGAATTCTATCCCTGAAAACGTCCATCTGCTGCACACCTGACCAGTTCTACAAATCACTTGTTTGCAAAGTTGATTTGCCCCATGTGCGGTGAGTTACTCTCCCTGCGTTCCCCGTAGAACGGAGGGCGAAAGGGCGAGCGCTGCAGGTCTTTCCTCGCTGCGTTCACGCAGGCAGGCCCTTCGGGAACGGGCGGGGCGGGGGGGGGGGGGGTGCCTCTGGACCGGTGGTCCCGGCCCTATTGCAACTGGTGTCACAGGTTTAGGAATGGATTCTTCTTCTTCTTCTCTTCTTCTTCTTCTTCTTCTTCTTCTTCTTCTTCTTCTTCTTCTTCTTCTTCTTCTTCTTCTATCCTCAGCCGATTGACTTTTTTAGTTCTTTTTTGATTTTTTAAAAATTAAATTCCTTGGGGTGACATTGGTTAATGAGAGTATATTCACCAAGTGTAGGTTTCTATGATACAGGCTGTATTCTGCGTTGGAATGTGCTTTCACTCACTCTCTCCCACCCGAACCTTCCGCAGGCGGGCGTGCTGCAGCCCGACACCTGCAAACCACACTTCCCCCCAGTGTCCCGGGCGGGGTGCGGGGGCGATCCTCAGAGGAAGGAGACCACCTGTCCGCCTTCCCTCGCCTTAAAGGGGCAAAGACCAGTGAAATTTAACTCGCATTCGAACTCTCCCTCCTTTTCGATTTTCTCCCCGGATTCGTTCCATTTTTAAGACCTTGGGGAACCGCCACTCCCCCCCCCCCACCCCCCCCCCCCCCCCCACCACGTAGGGCAAACGTTCAAAAAGACACAGCGGAGGAAACGCATTTTTACGAGTCTGGTATATGGCCGGGCGGGCTTGGCGGCAGCTCCGTGGGGTCGGCGGGCGGGGAACTCGGAGCGCCGGTCCGGCCCGCCCCGCCCCGGCCCGCGTGGCCAACTCCGCGGGCGAGGAGCCCTAAAGGCCGGGAGAGGGGGCCGCGGCGAGTGACTTGCAGGCCTTCGGCACTTCCCGCCCCGCAGCCCCGCCCCCAGCACGCACCGCCCCCGAAACCCGCAGGCCGCCCCCTCGGCCCCGCCCCTCCACAGGTCACCTCCCTCCACGCCCCTTTCCCTTGGCCCCGGCAGCCGGCAGGCAGGGAAGTGTCGTAAAGCCAGGCCCAGGAAACTTTACCCGGGGTAACAGCCGCGGCGCTTTACGGCGACGGCGGCGGAGTGGGAGCCTGGGCGGCGGAGGCGGCCGCGGCGGCGAAGGAGGCGGCGGCGAAGGAGGCGGCGGCAGCGGCTGAGGAGAAAGAGGAGTGGCGGCGCTGGCGGCGGGGACCCGTGCCGGGTGAGCCTCGCGGAGGGGCCGGGAGGGGCGGCGGTGACAGGGCTGGCGGGTGGGCCGGGGCGGACGGGGACGGTGGCCGGCGGAGCAGCTGGGCGGCGCTGAAGAGCGGGAGGGGGGGGGGCGCCGCGGAATTGGGGGGCACCTCGGTGAGGGACGGTTTCTGCCTTTGTTCCCCCCACCTCCGCCGCCCCCTGCCCGGCGCCCCCTGGGCTCGGCGCTCGCCGGCCGGCTCTCATGGCCTCCCTCTCGGTGTGTGTTGCCTCTAGGATGGCGGAGGTACCGCCTGGGCCTAGCAGCCTCCTCCCACCCCCGGCACCTCCGGCCTCGGCGGCGGCTGAGCCCCGCTGTCCCTTCCCGGCGGGGGCCGCCCTCGCCTGCTGCAGCGAGGACGAGGAGGACGACGAGGAGCACGAAGGCGGCGGCGGCGGCGGCAGGAGTCGGGCGGGCGGCGAGGCGACGGCGGCGGCCAAGGGGCATCCGTGCCTCCGGTGCCCTCAGCCGCCGCAGGAGCAGCAGCAGCTCAACGGATTGATCAGCCCCGAACTGCGGCACCTCCGGGCGGCCGCCTCGCTCAAGAGCAAGGTTTTCAACGCGGCCGAGGCGGCCACGACCACGGCCACCCCCGACGGGGGCCCCAGAGCGACTGCCACAAAAGGAGCCGGGGTCCGCTCGGGCGAGAGCCCCCCGCGCTGCCTCCCCAGCCACGCCAGAACTGCGCTCCCGGGCCCCGCGGAGGCCGCGGCGGCCCGCAATGGACTGGCGGAGGGCGCCGAGCAGGAGCAGGAGGAGGAGGAGGACGAGCAGGTGCGGCTGCTGTCTTCCTCCCTGACCGCCGGCTGCAGTTTGAGGAGCCCCTCCAGCCGGGAGGCGGAGCCCGGGGAGGATCGGACGATACGTTATGTCCGATATGAATCCGAGCTGCAAATGCCCGATATCATGAGACTGATCACCAAAGATCTGTCCGAACCCTACTCCATTTATACCTATAGATATTTTATCCACAACTGGCCACAGCTGTGCTTCTTGGTAAGTGGATGGCAGGAAAGGAGGGTGAACCCGGCGGAGCGAGCCAGGCCGTGCAGGGCAGGGAGTGTGAGGGCAGAGCGTGGCCGTGGATCTAGCCCGCCTGGCGTAGTGCGTGCCACGCGGTGTCAGGTGCGTGTGCTCCCTCCCAGGTACTCGGTGGAACTTCGGGAGGTAAGAAGTCGTGACCCGGGTTACCTTGATGCCGATGTTCACTGCAGCAAGCCCGTGCCGCTGCGTGCCGGGGGTCTTCTATGCGGTTTGCATTCGCTTATAATCCTGTTTAGCCTCTTTAATGACCCTCCCTCCTCCCAGCGCGCTGCAGTCATTTAATTTGAACACGATTCTGTTCGGATGCAGACCTTATTAATCTCTCAATTACAGCTCTAATCAGGGAAGAGTGTGTGCATAAACATGTTTTGGGGAAACGTGATTTGTCAGTAAACTTGGCGCGGCCGCACTGGAGAATGAAATCTCACTAGCATATTCTGTAATTACGGAGATTGTTTCCTTTACTTCAACAGGACAGTTAACAGTTGTAGCCAGACTGCCTTCTGGTACGTGATTGCAGATGGTGCTACTAACACTTCTGGTGGCTAGAAAACTCCTGAAACTTGAACAAAAATACCCTTTTGTGAAATGTAGGAAACTTAAAGTGTGAAATTGTTACTAACTTAATTTTTTTTTTCTTTTTTAAGAAACTGGTCATAGATATGCCCAAATGCTAGTAGTAATACTGGCTTGTGTCAAGTATAATTGACAAAATTCTTATTTGTATGTAAGGAAAAAAGACGCGGCTACAAATAAGCGGAACAATTTTTTTAAACTTTACATAATACTCGTGGTTCCAATAGTTTTTTCCAATTACATTGACCAGTTTCACTTCTTTTGAAACCTTTCACTTAGATTAACGGTAGGTGTATGCTTTGTGTCATATACTCACAAATACGTTGTTTCCATTGAATTTTACTGAAATGCAACATGCTTTTAAGGAGCATTTTATGATATGTAAAGGGAAAAGCTACTACTATTATCGTTTCAGCATTGATTTAGTTGCACTTGGTGATTCCCTGCAAGACATTTTAATAATACTTAAGAAATCCATCTTTTTTATTTTGTAGCTTAGTGATAACCTAAAAGTATATTCTCAGTATTGTAAATAATGGTTGTTCTGCTATTTTCTAAGTGTTCACTTTGCTAAACTTTAGTGTTTTTTTTAAACTGTGGTAACTATTTTATATTCTATGAAACTCCTCTTAGGAGTCTAACCATTGTATCCAAAAATGGGAAAATGATTTTTTTGTCAGTATTATGTCATCTCACATTTCATTGTAATTGCTAAATATTATAGATCGACTTTAACTGTAAATTGACCCACAGAAGCATACAATTGTAATGGTACACTTTAAATTGAAATAGTATATTTATTTCTGTTAATTTCAGAAAATAGTTGTATATAGAGGGGTGGGTAAAAGTAGGTTTACAGTTGTGAATACATGAAATACAGTTTATTCTTATACTATTATTTATTAATGATTATTTTTCCATACGAACAACTGTAAACCTTTTGCCCACCACTTATATGATACTTAGTCAACTTTTGAGTTCTGATATTACCTAGACCTCTCTCAACTCGTCTGCCATTTTAGACTCTGATAAACTTAATATTATTAAACTTTAGTTTAGATTTTATATAGACCCCTCCCAATTCACCAGTTAATTTGTGCTTTGACCCTTAAGAGTCAATTTGTTTAACATTAAATTCTGAGTATCTAGAAATCGAAATATGAAAAAGTGGTTGACCTATAAGATTTACTAGTGCAAGTATGAATCTGGTGGTGTAGAACATAAAATGATAGCTGAACAATTAGAGGCTATGTAGCCTCGGGCCTTTTTATTGGCATTTAAAAAATTAGAATTTCCCATAAGAACTAATTTAAAACAAATATAATGTGTATGTTTATTTTGAATCATATCGTTTTAGAACTGTAAAGGATCCTAGAGATAATCTAGTTCAGATTTATTTTATTAATGAAAAAATTATGGGCCAGAGTGACTTTAAAATGTTTAAATCTCTAGATATTCAGTGGCAGGAAGGTAAAGCTAGAACTCAGGTCTCCTGGCCACATGGAAACAAGAACCTGAAAAATGACATACCCTTGGTCTATTCAGTGAAGATCATTATGTCACAAAGTTATACTTCTTAAGGGATAGATGTGCTTACAAACATCAATCTCAAGTGATTAGAAACCTCCAAAATATTCCTGGTTTCATGAGTAACCTGTAATGGATTAAGTGAAATATCTGAGGTTGAACCTTAGAAAATTGCCAGTTCTTGACCATATTTGACTAACACAAATAACAGGGTTGTTGCTTTTTTAAATTCTCACAGGAGGACATATTTTTATTGATTTTTAGAGAGAAGGGAAGGAAGAGAGAGAAACATCTTGTTGCCTCCTACATGAGCCCTGATTGGGGATTGAACCCGAAGCCTAGGTATTTGCACTGACTGGGAATCGAACCTACAACCTTTTGGTGTACAGGATGATGCTCCAACTAACTGAAAGTCCCGGCCAGGGCCAAATGATAGTTTCTGATTCTTTCTAATAATTGTAACATGTGAAAGTAGAGTACTGTACAACTTGGAGGCACTGTCACTCTGTACTTAACTAATTTCTCATTGCAGTTCATGATATTTTGAACTGTAGTTGGTGCGTTTTCGAACTTCTTAAACTTATTACCAGTAATGTATACTACTTCCATTTATTTGTTCTAAATTTAACTTTCTGGCTTCCTCTGGAAACGACGCTTCTTTCCTATTTGTAGTGTTCTGGAATTTGGGACTCTCTGTTTCACAAATTTATATTTTATATCTATATTATAGATTGATAAGCCTTTGGTCTTTAGAGTTAAGTCTTGCCAGGAATTTTTCAGTTACCATCTGAAAAAAGAACACATTTAATAGCAGAAGCTTTTATTTGGAAAAAATTAACAAGTAATTTAGTAATTCTTGTAAGTGTATATTCATCAGCAATTTATCAAGAAAAAATAGCATTGGCCTTCCTCACTACCAACATTTGTTAATAATAATATATTATATATTGGGCTTTTATTTTTAAATGATATGTACAACTTGACTCTTGCTCCTGTAGATTCTTAATTAGGAAGAAATCAATCTAGTCCAAGAGGGAACTAATATACTTTGCTTGTTATTTTCTTGGTCAAAGGACAAAGAAGATTTGTTTGAAATTTCTATATAATTTGAAAGTATTGTCCAGCTGTATTGTATGTAGTGGTTTTAAAATTGTCCTCTTTTAGATGGTTTATTCACTGTTAAAAGTAGTTATTCTACAGTTTTGTATCAGAGATTTACATAGATTTCCACTTTCCCTAGCTAATGAGATCAGGCCCTAATTTTTTTTAATATACCATTTGGTCTGTGGTATGTCCACATGCGCACCACAACCACACATATATATTTGAAGTGAGTTTTCATGTTAAAAAGTTCAACCAAGCAATTTTTGCATAAATTTCAGGTTTTCAAAAGATTTTGAAAGAACCAGATTGATACATCATGAATGAAAATGGCCCCAAATGGTTTTGGATTGTGTGATAGAACATAAATTAATTAGTGTGGATTGTTGAATTTAATATTCCTTTAAAAGGATTTTTCTGACCTAATTTAGATTTGCATGAAATGGATTAGAATTATCGTGCCTAAAAGATTTCTCCACAGTTTTTTTTTAAAAAAAGAGTTTTGTAATCAAATTATAGAATGATGGACTAAAACAATCTTACAACAGATTTAAATTAAAATAGGTATTAAGTATAAATTGGGCTTTACTTACTAATTTTTTTAACCCATTCCTGTTTTTTGTTTTTGAAATAGTTTCTTCTGAAAAGTTAATATTATTAAGAGATAATTTGAAGTTTTCATTTTTTTCTAATAAGGGCTTTTAACAGCAAGTATTTCTGGCTTACACATTATTAAACAATTGGAGCTATTGCCCTATTTATATTGACCAGACTATATATAGTATTACTAGAACATTTTATCAGTGATAGAATGTTTGAAAGCCATATTTTTAGTTTGCAAAAAAAAATATGGAAATCTTAATTACTCTGGAAAGCTGTACATTTTTGTTTAAATAGAAAGCTCTGATTTTGAGTTCTAGATATACTATGAGCTTTATGATAATGACTTCACTGTCAAAAGTGTCCTAAAAATTAGACCATTGTATATACATCTACTCTTCGTAGTATCTCAATAACAAAAACCCCTTGATTAGGATCCAAGGAATAGCTTAAAACAATCCTTTTTCTGAGAATATTTTACATTTCTTTCCTGATCAAAATTTACTGTTCAAGTATAAATCATGTCATATCTTTCACAAAAGCTTTATTATAAACTTAAAGTTATTGTACTCTGCCAGTAAGCAAGTTTCTCAATATTTTATCATATCCTAATGAAGACTTTTTCTTTAAAAAGCTATTTTCACATGTTCCTCCTTCCCAAATCTTAAATATGTATTTATTGCAAATAATATAATTATAAACCTCTTATAAAACTAATTATAACTAGAGACCTTTAAAAAGCACTTGAATGTTTACCTATGGAATTTTGCTTTTCCCCCCGTATGTTTTGATAATCATAAGAAATTCATGTTTTAAAGAATGTTGAAAAATATTAAAACTAGAACATTTGAAGGAGCTTTAGGATTTAGATTTCTGAAACTTCTGCTCTCTTGCTAGAATTCTCATTATCTCTTCCTCCCTCAAAAATGCTGACCAGTGGTTGGTTGCTGTTTCCCTGGGTGCAGTACCTGGTGGTATTATGTTCTTCATAATTGTTTGTTTATTTTTAAGGCCGTGGTAGGGGAGGAGTGTGTAGGTGCCATCGTTTGCAAGTTGGACATGCACAAAAAGATGTTCCGCAGAGGTTATATAGCCATGTTAGCCGTGGATTCCAAATACAGGAGAAATGGCATTGGTAAGGAAAATATTATGTCATTAAAAGAATGTATGAGTTCTTTTTTGTATTTTGAATCAAGATTTAAGTGTAAATATGTGGAAATGAGCATGATGCTAAGGGAAGAAAATCAAAATTGTTTTTACCTAAAAATATTTCCAAGATGTGCATTGTTTTTTTTAAGAGAGAGAGAAACATTGAAGTGAGAGCTGCCTCCCCCCCCCCCCCCCCCGCAATGAGCCCAAAATTCACAGGGGAATCAAGTTGGTAACCTTTTAGTGCAAGGGACGACCCCCAACCAACTGACCCACACTGGCCAGGGAACCGAAATGTTTTTAATGATTTTTTAAAATTGTTTGAGAGATTATCTTTTTAATAAGTAGCAGGTGACCATTTTTTGTCTCCAAACATTTCTTTACTATGTTCAGAATGCTTTGTATTATACCAAGTACTGCAGTTTTGATAGCAGTCTTAGGGTACTTGATCATAGCTTTAAGCTGTCTATGCTTGGCTGAAGTGGACCTCAATGAAGGCAAAATAATGGAGAAATTGTTAACCATTATTTAGTACTAGTAATTGTATTAACAATTCAAAGAAGACCAGGAAAAGGAATTCTTACCATTCCCAGTCATCTCTTTCTTAGGTCTACCTTTTTTGGCATTTTTCAGTTAATCTTACAATGGTCATTAGAGTCATCTGGGTGATTATAAGACAAATACATAGGCCCCTCCCACTGAGAATCTTGTTTGTCTTGTTAGAAGGAGGGCTGAAGCTTCCCCAGGTGACTGTGATCTAAGCCTGTCCTAATACTTAGGACCTACTAGCTCTTCGTTTAAGATGTAAGAGTAGATTGACAAGTACTCTTGTCTGGGCATGTCATTCTGGGATGTACTGAAGCGAAGTTAGTATTCATGAAAGAATATTTGATGCCTATACCAGTATTTAATTACCAACAGTTTTTTCTCAACTATTAGTATTATTGTCCAATTTAAGACAATCTTATTTATATTGGGAAATCATTAAGAATAGGTTCACTTACTACATTAAGTTTAACCAACTTACAGTGTTATAGTTTACCACCAAGATTTTTAATGAATCAGGCTTGTTATATAAGCCAGGATTGAGTCTTTGATGCATTAAAAAGAGCTGGTAAGAACTCATGGAAAATGATAGGCAATTGTCTGGCTGTTTCGGAAGGCAGAAGCCAGTGGCTTGAAGGTTGCGTCTTAGCCCTCAGACATTTTGTTTGGCCCAAATAATGTGTTTTTGCTCATGTTTTGAGAATTAAGAGATTTTTTATAAAATTGGGATTTTTTTCTTAAAATTCACATTTGGCAGTTGTTTTCCCTTTAATGTACTAAATATATCTGACCCTAACCTAAGATATATTTTGCTAGACATTTGCAGACACACTACTGATATCATATATATACTAGTGGCCCGGTGCATGAAATTCGTGCGGGGGGGTCGGGGGGAGTGTCCCTTAGCCCGGCCTGCACCCTCTCCAATCTGGGACCCCTCAGGAGATGTCTGACTGCCCCCCCACTCCCCTACCGGCCTGCTCACCCCCAGTTGCCCCCCCTGCCAGCATGATTGCCCCCACTGCCCCCCACTGCTGGCCTACTCACCCCTAACTGCCCTCCCCTCCTGGCCTGATCATCCCTAACTGCCTCTGCCCCACCACCATGGCTTTGTCCGGAAGGATGACCGGAAGGTCTCCCAGAAGGTCTCCTGGTCTAATTAGCATATTACCCTTTTAGTATAGATATAAAAGCCTAAGCGCTGTTAAGACCGAACAATTGGAACGACCAGTCGCTTTGACGTGCACTGACCACCAGGGGGCAGATGCTCAACGCAGGAGTTGCCCCCCTGGTGGTCAGTGCACTCCCACAGCCAACCTCCCGCAGTTGGCCAATCTCCCATGGTCCCTCCACCCTGCTGGCAGGCCCTAGTTGGCCTGCCGCCCGCCCGCCTGCCACAGTGGCAGCATGGCGGTGAGGGGAGGAGGAGGGAGGGAGGTGGGGAACTGTGTGGTGGTGAGGCACCGATGTTGGCGTCCTGCATCCGTTCCTTCTGTGCCAGGCCCAGCGACCGTCAGCCAGGTCTAGGGACCCCACCCATGCACGAATTGGTGCACCAGGCCTCTAGTGTGGGAATACCAGACTTAAGTGTGCCCCATGCTCACTATAAGGTTTGTAGGAACCAACCCAGTGTCTTGGGCCTACTTTGGGTCACAGCAGTTGTAGTGTGATCTTTGGCAAGATTGGTTCAAGGGTCATATGCAGTGAGTTCTGGCCAGCTCAAGAAGTTCCTGGGTTGCTTGGCCGTATTATATCTTGCCTTTTTCTTTTTTCCCCTTTCCCTTCAAACAGAATAGCAGAAACTCCTGCTTGGAGCAGGTAATTACACCTGAGAAAAAGGAATATATCAGGACTTGCTTAGCTCTTTCAAGAGGAAACTTAAATTGCTATGTGTAGGTTCTCTTGGCCTCTCATTTTAAATCTAAAATTTTTCTCAATTTAAGATAATCTGTGTATCTGCATTCAAGGTAGAACTCAGCATTTGACATTTATATGCTTATTATGATGTTATAATTTAGGTATCTTTAAGAAACTAATTACATTTTTCCTTCATTAATACTCAGATCTATATTCTAGGTACTAACTTGGTTAAGAAAGCTATATATGCCATGGTTGAAGGAGACTGTGATGAGGTAAGTCTTTCTAAATACTTAAGACCTTTTAGGCAGTATTCTACTACGTATTTTTATAAATATCCCATGATTATTATACTGCAGGTCTTATAGCAATGTACAAATGCAACTTGTAGTGAAATTATATATCATTTAAACACATGAATTTTGACCTAGAACAAATTTTAAGGTGATAATGGGAGCTAAAATTTGTTTTTTTTGTCAAAATGTAAAGATGAAATCTTAGACATTTTCAGTAAATAAATGGTATTCAGAGGAATTTGTATTCAGAGGACTTGTTATCAGTTAAGTTATCACTTACTGTAAGTTACATATTAGCCTTAGTTTCTTTCTACATAAAAGTTTTATTTTTAACTCTGGGCCAACTGTCAACTCATATGAAGGACATTTCACATTTGACAAACATCTCTCAGCATTAAATAATGATAAGGCTTGGAGGGTAGGTGAAGACAGCTAGTTTTTTAATTGGAGCCATCTACATATTAACCTCAGAGCATCTCTTTTCAGCTTTTTTTCTAAGGCCTTATAGCAGGTATAATTTCTTGTATGTGATAGCACTGGGCTTTAAACATGCTAGGTGCTCAGTAAATAATGGTGATAGTTGGGACTGTTAAGATTTACTATTGAATAATTTGGGAGGGAATAAGTATAAATAAGGGGAAGAATAAATGTCTGTATAGCAATGATGACTAAGAAGGAACAAAGTTGCATTTTTATGTATAGTAACTGTATGAGTGATACAAGTGACAGTTGTCTTTATTATTGGAGGGCAGATGTGCCTTAGCTCACAAAATACTTGAAATTAAGTAATTTTTTTTTCAACAACATGCTGACCTTAATAAGTAACTTGCCTTTTTAAAAAATTTTTCTTTTTTGTACAAAATCCAGACACAAAAATTAACCTTTTGTGTGTGTGTGTGTGTGTGTGTGTGTTTTGGTATAATATACCTTCCACTGTCCTCATGCTCTTTAACTCTTCATCTTTCCACTTAAAGCTACTATTAATCTTATGATGTACATCCTCCCATTTTCTAAGCACACCTGTATGCAACTGTGTAATACCTTTTTTTATAAAAAATGAAATCACAATTATTCTGTAATAGTTTTTCCATTCAGTGGTATCTCATGAACACATTTCATTGTCAGAATATAGAGATTTACTGCAGAGTATTCTCATGCTTCTTGTTTACATTAGTTTGTATTCTGACAGATCACACTAAATGGTGGTTCTATGGGAAGGCCTACAGACATACCGGGCAGCACAGAGAAGTCTAGGATTTAACGATATTTAAATTTACTCCAAATAAGATAATTACTCATGGTGGAGGATCTCATATTGTTTGCAGCTTTTAATATAAAAAAGTAAAAGGTACAGTGACCTTGATAATTTACATGGCTGGTAACTAAAATTTACATACATTTATTACTATAAGTCTCTGTGTTTGGACCATACCCACACTGGCTTAGCTCATCCAGAAGAAAGTCAGGCTTTGCAAAAGTAGTGTAACAGTTTGGAGAAATCTTTGGCATGATAAAACTATGTTTTGATCCTCTATTGCTACTGAGTGGAGTGATTTCCAGTGAACAAGGATGCTATGATCAGGGATATTATCTTCTTACGGTTAAGCCTTTTCTGAGTTTCCATAATCACTACCTGTGAGACATGCTTCACTTAATTGATCAAATGTTTAAATAGTATTGGTTTTACTTTGAAAGTTTAAAGGGATGATATGGAGATTTTGGTTATATTGTTTTAGTCTCAAGGTTAAATCCTAAATTAGTGATCTATGTATTATTGTAGAAATAGTCTTGTCTTTTTTTTAAATATATATTTCTTACTGATTTCTGAGAGGAAGGGAGAGGGAGAGAGAGATAGAAAAGTCAATGAGAGAGAATCATTGATTGGCTGCCTCCTGCACGCCTCATCCTAGGGATTGAACCCAAAACCCTGGGCATGCGCCCTGACTGGGAATTGAACCATAACCTCCTGGTTCATGGGTCAATACTCAACCACTGAGCCACACTAGCTGGGCCCTTCTATTTTTGGATGGTAGTGTATTTGTTGGTTCTACTTTATATTGCCATTTCATCCCATTTCATTTGGATTCTTTCCCTTCCACTCCATTGTAACTACTTTCTCACTGATGTATTTGCTTGATCCAGTAGTTTCTTTTTTTTTTTTTTTTTTTATTATATTTTATTGATTTTTTACAGAGAGGAAGGGAGAGGGATAGAGAGTCAGAAACATCGATGAGAGAGAAACATCGATCAGCTGCCTCCTGCACAACCCCTACTGGGGATGTGCCCGCAACCAAGGTACATACCCTCGACTGGAACCGAACCTGGGACCCTTCAGTCCTCAGGCCAACGCTCTATCCACTGAGCCAAACCAGTCAGGGCCCAGTAGCTTCTTTATCTTCCTCTGCTTATTAAAATACTTGTCAGTCTTTATTACCCAACTAAAATATCAACAACTCCTTAAAGTTTTCTTTAATCCTTCTGGACAGAATCAATTGTACCTCTCTGGTTTTCTTTACTTCCCTTTTTGTAATATAGTAGTCCCTACTTATCTGTGGTTTCACAGTAACCCATAGTCAACTAGGCTCTGAAAATATGAAATGGAAAATTTCAGAAATAAACAATTCATACATTTTAAATTGCCAGCAGTTCTGAGTAGCATGATGAAATCTTACACTATTGTTGTACTGCTCCATTGGAATCCTCCCTTTGTCCAGCATGTTCACGCTGTGTATGTTTGCCACAGATTAGTCACTTAGTAGCCATCTTGGTTATCAGATTGACTGTTGCAGTATTGCAGTGCTTGTATTCCAGTTACCCTTATTTTACTTAATAATGGCCCCCAAATGTAAGAGTGATAATGTTGGTAATGCGGATATGCCAAAGAGAAGTCAAAAGTGTTTCCAAGTGAAAAGGTGAAAGCTCTCAACCTAAGGAAAGAAAAAAAATTGTATGTTGAGGTTGCTAAGATCTATACACTGAGTGGCCAGATTATTGTGACCACCTGACATTTGTAGGCAAATGAGCTGTAATTTCACACTAAAGTTGCTAGAAGGCCAGACCATTTTAAATAGGGAAGCAGGTTGTTTACCACGACAGTAGAAGTGATTTTTTTCTGAAGACATGGGTAAACAACGCGATTTAACAGCCTTTGAACGTGAGATATATATTATTATGAGTGGCTAGAATATTATGACCATCCCATCAGTATTTCGTAGGGCCACCTTTTGCCTTCAATACTGCGGCGATTCTTCTTGGCATTGACTCCACGAGATGTTGAAAGGTGATGCGAGGAATCTGACACCATGCCTGATGCATAGCACTGTCCAGTTCTGTGAGATTTGATGGTTGTGGAACCAGCTGCCTGATGGCTCTTTTAACTTGGTCCCACAAATGCTCAATTGGATTGAGATCTGGTGATTGTGGGGGCCACCTAAGCAAGGTAAAGTCTCCCTCATGTTCTTGAAACCACTTCTGCACAATACGAGCACCGTGGCATGGCGCATTGTCTTGTTGGAAGAAGCCATCAACATGATAGGATGAACCTGATCAGCAATGATACTTAGGTATGTTGTGTTATTCAGACGTTGTTCCACACGAATTAAAGGGCCCAAATCATGCCAGGAAAACATGCCCCAAACCATAACACTGCCCCCACCAGTTTGAAGGGTTGTACTCATGCATGTGGGGTGCATGCTTTCATGCTGTTTCCGCCAAATTCTCACTCTGCCATCTGCATGATGCAACTGGAAACGTGATTCATTGGACCACATGACTTTTTTCCAATGCTTGACTGTCCAATCCTTGTGTTCCTGTGCGAATTGGAGACATTTTATCTTGGTAACTGCAGACAGCAAAGGTGTTCGAACAGGCCTTTGGCTTTCATATACCATACGATGCAGTGTACGGCTAGTTTGCCTACAAACGTCAGGTGGTCATAATCTGGCCACTCAGAGTGTGTGTGTGTGTGTGTGTGTGTGTGTGTGTGTGTGTGTGTGTGTATGTATGTGTGTGTGTGTGTGTGTGTGTGTGTGTGTGTGTATATGTGTATATATATATATATATATATATATATCCCACGTTCAAAGGTGGTTAAATCGCGTTGTTTACCCATATCTTCAGAAAAAAATCACTTCTACTGTCATGGTAAACAACCTGCTTCCCTGTTTATAATGGTCTGGCCCTCTAGCAACTTCAGTGCAAAATTATAGCTCATTTGCCTACAAACACCAAGTGGTCATAATAATCTGGCCACTCAGTGTATACATTTAACATTTTTAGTTTAACTGGAAACATATTTTGGCTATGAGACTGAGGCTTCTAGGTAAAGAACAGAGTAAAATGGAGTTATTTAAACTGAAGGGATTTTTGGTTAAGTAATTTAGCCTGATAAAGAACTGTGTATGAGAAGCCTGGCTTCCAGATCCATCTGCTGTCACTTAGTATAGTTGTGTGATTGTAGGCGAGTCATTTAACTTTTTAAAATTTCTCTCTTTGTCTATATGCAATGTGATGGTAATTCTGATCTTAAAGGAATGTTATGAAGAGCAATAAAGGTGTTCATTCAGCAGTATCAGTGTGAGTAGCTTGTGAGATGCCAGACAGTGAGCTAGTGCTTAGGTTCTAGCAGTGAACAAGCCTGTCCTCCCTCTAGGAGCTTCCAGCCTATAATATTAGAAAGGGCTTTCTAAACTGTAATGGTTTGGCATATTCTAACAATGGTTTGTTGGGAAGAGAATCCGTAGAAGTTCACTATAATTCAACTGCCTAGTTTCTTTAGGACCAAATAACCTTGTTATCCTTTGGCTTCCAATGTAATACTCCCATGAGATGCACTAAAAGAATAGTTTTATAGTGAATTTCCAGTATAAACCCAGATTCTCTTTTCATATAAGAATGTAAGTGATTAAGTATTAAAAAGTAGTTACTTTTTTCCTAGCATCTTTTATTGAGTCAAATAATACATGATCTCTTGGTTTAGA